ATATTGTATATTCATCATCAAGCAATAAAATCTGTGCGGAGTAACCACGTCTTGGTTCTTGATTTGGACCCTGGTTTACATATATATGATAATATAGCAAAGTGTAAGAATTGACCGAATAAGCACTAATATATAGTACAATCTAAAATACATACAGAGTGTATGGAACATGATAAAGAGAAAGTAAAGATAATGTTTAGAGGAATAACCCTGCAAAAACAGCATTATAATGATAAAATTGGTTAAACTATTTCTCACAAGTATCGAAGTGATTTCGTCCTGACTTCACACGGACTTGTCCCTTCTGACGTGTTACACTTCAGAACTTGAATACGGCGCGCTATATATATTGATCCATGAGTCGGAGGTCCACCACAAACGAATAGCACTGTAAGCAAATTATCTAACGGCAGCACAGCAAGCAAATCATACGACAGCACAGCATTACAAGAACATTACATAACATAATTACATACATGTAAACATATACATACAATTTGTGAACCGCTTTGAGACGACCTACGAACTAGGTTGTAATAAAGCGGTATATAAGTGTGGCAGGGTTCAATTGTACATAGGATTAAGGTTGCCATCTAGCTTCGCACTAGGGGGAATTTCCCTTTAGCTCAGTGGTAGAGCGTCCGACAAGGAACCTGGAGATCTAGGTTCGATCCCCGGTGGAAGCACACTATTCTCTTTCCTGTTACATAAGAACCTCGAATTATTATTATTGTACAATGCAAACTTAAATACTATGGAGTAGCAGGGAACACAACTACACGGATCACAGATTTCCTATCACATCAGACCCAAACAGTAGTACTCGAAGGAAATCAATCAGACAAAATGTCAGTCACATCAGGTGTACCGCAAGGTACTTATTTAGGCCCCATCCTTTTCCTCATATACATCAACGAACTATCAGAATACATGAAACACAGCGCCCTTCGACTATTTGTAAACGACACTGTAAAACATAAAACAATAGACAACAGAAAAGATACAATCGAACTACAAAGAGACAGACTCAGCGGGGAAATGGGACCAAGACTGGCTCATGCAATTTGATCCAGACAAGTGCAACATTATCTTAAGAATAATATCAAACAAACGCACCGACAAATTAAAAGTACTTAAAAACTCCACAGCAAGGACACTTCTTAGATAAGAAAAGGTTTGATAGTTGGTCAGACGTCTCTAGAATTTGGACCGCCGTAGCAGTGTTCCAGAAAATAAATGCTCATAGATTCTAGTTTAATCTTTATTACGTGATTTCTCTGGGTTTTGTAAAGTTTCAAGTTCTGAGGTGTACTACATTTCTTAAACTCATTAAAAAGCTGTGTTATCTTATAAACAGCCCGACTGAGCCTACTACTGAAATAGGATAATTTCTTAACTCTAGGTATTTTTTCTTCAAGTGGGGCATTTTCATTGATGATACTAGTGTGCCCAGTATACATATCATCTGTATCATCAAAAACACATGAAGCGTGAAAAAGAAGCATATGAATGGCCTAATTAAAAGATTCTTTATCAAAGATTTTATAGCTCCCAAAATTAATTAGGTGGAGCTGCATGGCCTTTAATGACAATACCAATAAGATTGTGCCAACACTGACCCCACAAGTAAATACAAATATAGGTTTGTTTGTTAAAATGACATCAACACGGGATGATGCACAATGTTTATAAAACAAGTGACTGACTTGACCTAGTTTGTTAGGTTAAAATATCACACAGATCAAATAATGCATTACCTTTAGGCTGGTGCAAGCAGTCAAGATTGAGATCATCAATCACTGAAATATTTTTAAAAATGGTAGACATTTTGTCAAGACTTGTAGTCATACTTTCTGTGGATAGGTCTTCGGACATGGACGGGTTTATAAGCCCTGCAAATGTCCATTTCCTGTTATTGACAAAGCATTTGATCACTAGCGACTCAATCACATTGAGTTCTACATCCGGCCTGTGTATGGTGGCTGAAATTTCGTCTTTTCGCTTTGTCGCCCGCGAAATAACGCCAAGCAAAATAACGAAATAACGAAATAACGCCAAAGTGCCAAAGCGAAATAACGAAATAACGCCAAACCGAGGTGAAAATAACGCCAAAGCGAAGAGATAAAATGGCGTCTTTTCTCCCTCCTTTTGGCGTTATTTCATTATTTCGCTTTGGCACTTTGGCGTTATTTCGTTATTTCACAGGTGTATGCGATGTCTATATGAGAGTCAAGTACCGAGTTTTCTTTTTGTAAAATTTGTAAAATTTTATCATGTTTTGACACATAAATATATTTAAACTGTATACAACTATAATAGCGGTAGCACTCGTTTTAGCATGGAGTCGGCTGCTGGATAACGGAGCTACTAAGTAGTGAAACGGACGTAAAACAAACAATTGAACTCGGACCAATAGTGCGTGACTCGATTGACATAGACAAGCTCCGCCCAACAGGCAATGACCAACCAATTGTCGGGTTGCATCAACGAGGAGAATGATGAGGGAATTTGAGTCTGTTTAAGTTTCATTTCCTGAATTCCGGAACCTAAACCCAAAGAATGATATTATTTGCTGCATTGCACTTTATATCTCCGACAATTGTTCTCCCGATATCGCACAGGTGACGCTTTCTTGCTGTTGTGATACTCTGCAAAGAACATTTATTGTACAGTCTAGATTAGCCTTCCGTGATTCCGGCTGCTTGTCGTTTTTACTTAATTTAAGCCGTAAACTGTTCTCAATTTTTGAAAGGTTAGAACTAGGTCTACTTTAATGATATGAAAATAATCTTTAATTGCGTTTACGTACTTAGAGCATTTAAAAGTCAGGTATCTCAAGGAAGAGTAACCATATTTTTATGGTAGCTCCGGGTTCGAGTCTCGGTCCGAATTTGTTTCACCTGCTACAGTTTACTGTCGAACTTGAGGGTCATGCTATATTCTTTAAATAATAAAACTCAAAAGTATTTTAGTTAAGAAACTGTTATAACAAACCTGAAAATTTCTCCACGCCCTATGACGTAGCCTTTTTCGAAGCCACTGACTGAATGTTAACAAGACATTCCTTTATGTAGTTTTCCGCGAATATATGAAACAAAGGATTTCAAATTAGGGATGTAGACCTATCGAATTCAAAGCCGTAGGATTTAACTGGGCAAGTATTTCGCAATCTGCCATTTATTTTTATTTTCTTGTTGAATTTTGGGAATTCATGGGTACGTATTTTTCTCATATTCGAGAAAATACCGGTTCTAAATATCGGCATGGTTGTATAAGTTAAAAGTCATAGCAGTTTAAAGTCGACAATTTAGCTCGATCTAGTATTCTCCATTAACCAATCTTTTAAAATAAATGTGTTATGACCCAAAAAGTTTGGTATATATTTTAAAGATATGTTGGGGAATTAGAATATTTAAAAAATACGTAAGAACATTTTTTTATATTTCATGAACGAATTGAAAGGATACATTTAAAAGTTAGTTATGGTATATGACGTCATAAGTTTGCGTTATTTTTATTTCTTCTTTTTGTAGGATGTACATTGTACTTGAGAAAGCTTCTTTTGATTTCTTGTTATTAAATTATCATCTTTGTTGGTTTTTATTTCGTAAATAACATTGTCTCTTGTTCGCCTGATCATGATGTCCCCGCCGAGGACCGTTTTCGTTATAAGAAGTATGTTTTAAGTATTTCATTGTTGAAGTAAACTACTTTCCTATTTAAAAATCATTATTTGTGACGCTAATCTTGGCCATTCGCATTGCCTACTTTGTGTAGTCGATGAATAACCACAATAATTATTTCCATTTGATTTCCTGATCAGGATGGCCCCGGTCAGGTCCGTATACGCTACTAGCTATAGTTATAGATTATACTGCTTATAAATAACCATTCTTGTAAGTCGGGGTTCTATTTCGAAATTAAAACGACTCCTCTAATGACAATATTCACTGCGATCTATATTTTGTTTATAAATGTAATTATGTATGCAAACAAATATGATTTTATTTCCGGATCATGATGGCCCCTGCCCAGGACTGTGTACGTTTTGAGATGTATATATAGAGTATTCCATCAATGATGTAATGTATTTTCCATTTAAAAATCATTATGATGCTTCTCTTGACCGTTCGCATTGCTAGCTTTTTGTACTTGATTAATATCTACGTAAATAATTTCCAAGTTCCTGATCAGGATGCCCCCGCTCAGGACCGTAGACGTTCTAATATATATATATGGACGATAACATACTTTAGACATAGTTTAATTTCTGTTTCTAAATTACATTCAGCCATCTCTTACCTATGCGCATTGCCAACTGTGGTATTTGATGAATTAATTCGAATATAATGAGCACGTGTTTTCCTGATCAGGATGGCCCCGGTCAGGACCGTATACGCTACCAGCTACATTTATATATAGTTATAGACTATACGGCTTATAACAATTCTTGTAAGTCGGGGTTCTATTTCTTAATTAAAACGACTCTTTAAAAAAAAATCATTATGATGCTTCTCTTGACCGTTCGCATTGCTAGCTTTTTTATTTCCATTTAAATTCCTGCTTAAGATCTTATATTAGTATGCAACTCGAAGATGAAATATTTTAGACATAGTTCAATTTCTATTTCCCAATCATATTTACTCATCCCTTGACTCTAATAATTGTAATATGTATTTGATCCATTAATACGGATATAATGAGTACTTGATATATTGATATGGGTGTCCCTGTTACCTGTTACCGATTACGTTCCAATATCAACATATAATTAAAAAGATTGACGATTGATTTGATGTTGTTTTTTTCTATTTAAAAATCACCTCTCTTGACTGCAAACTTTGCTGCCTTTATACATTTTATAAATAACTACGGATAGATTCACTATAACATATCCTGTCTGATCATGACGTCCGTTCACAGGACGTATATACACTATATCGTGGAAAACAAAGATAAAATATTATAAATATAGTTTAATTTGTATTTCTAAACCATCTTTATTCCTCTCTTTGACTGTAAACACTGCCATCTTCATGTATTTGAATCATCAATACGGATATAATTAGTACTATATTTCCTGATCAGGATATCCCTGCTCAGGAACATTATCTTCCTTTAGTTTATAAATGTATAAATGAAACATATCCACGCTATTTCCTGATAAGAATGTCCCAGATGAGGACCGTATACACTATAAAATGTTATATCATGCTCCAAGTCCGGACGAGTTATCCTATCTTGACGGTCCTCACCAGCCCCGGTCTTGCTCAACCCCAGTCCCAGTGAGAGACAGCTGAGCTGTCTGACGCCACTCGGACAACGCGCACTGGACGAGCCGTAATAACTCCCCTGCGCTATCGAAAATTTTAAAGGATTAACGGACTTTACAGAAAAAAATAACCACTACGCCCACTCGAAATAAGGAGCTTCGTGCTAAAGGAAGAACTTGACTTGCCAGGCCTCCCGGAAGATTTCCACCAAGATGTTGATGTTGAGTTGATGGAATTGTTAAGCGATTTATATGATGGAGAGGAGAGTGAATACGAAGTTCCCAAGATACCCACCGCCGGACCAGCGTCAACTTGGGCAATTATGTACCCGCTCCCCACCCCCACCCACCCATCCACGAATCCTTTCCGGGGAGGCGGTTGATATCTCTAAGAAGATCGTGACAATATGTCTGACAAAGACGGTGACGAAATACGCCGACGGAGGAGAAGAGAATGCCGGAGGTGATTTACTCCGAAGGAGTGAGCGAGGAGGACATTAACTCGGAGGACATATGTCAAGAAGCAATGAATGAACAGGGGAACCAACATTCGAAAACATTATTAAAAACAAAACATGTGTCCTTAATTAAATTGAACGCTTTGCTTAAAAGAGAAAGTATTATATATTTGAACTATAAACACATTCAGCGACTTATTGTCCTTTATGGACGCCAGCCCTGGGGGATGAACAGTGGATTAATATAACAGCAGCTGAAAGATGGAACTATAGTATCAAAACTGTATACCTTTGATAAAAACAAATATTCCAAATAAGCGCAGTGTGACTGGATACTTTTATTAAAAAAACAAGTGAAATGGTGTGAAACTTTCGAATTGGATTATCTAATGGATTAACTTTAACCGCTAATTTTCTAGGTGAACGCTTAAATAAACGTGATTGGATTAGATTTACACTGTTTTAACGAACTGTGATCTAAATTAAACTGTGATGCTGAGCTGTGATGCTGAACTGAACTGTGATACCAAAAAAGTGACTGGATAATAATACATTAACTGTGACATTTAACATTATTAATTTGGATTATATCATAACATTTTGGTGGAATTTCCGTAAAACAAGGTAACGTACGTTTGTATGCATATATGTTAATATAATTTACTAGGGTGTATGGGTGGATTTTATCGTTAAAACCATGAGTATAGTATATACTAGAGGATATGGAGAATTGTATTGTTCCTTACAATGTGTACACACTTATTTGTATGTCATCGGCTATCTCGAATCTAGAGTGAATGGAGGATGAAGAAATCTTAGAGTTGAAACGTGATAGTGTGATGACGTTAACGTTGATTGCGTGATACAGAATGTTAGGATATTCTACTGATGTTAACAGTAATAGTATCATACTTATATGTACATGTTGGGTAATGTATGAGATGAGAAGATATAATATGTTAAGTATAGGTTATATATATGTAAAGTGTATATATTAAAAAAAAAAAAAAAAAAAACCCGAAGAGAAAAGTACTGTAAGATATTCAATGCGTATGTCTGGAACACATTTATCACATATGGGGAATGAGGAGATGAATATATATTTTTATATATTATGATAATATAGTTGTCAAATAGTAGTAAGATACTTCTGTTTAAATGAGGTTAAAAGGTAGTGTAGTGAATAAGAGGATTGATAGTGCTGAAAGTTATAATGTGGACTAATTGTGGTAAGGTGTTTATAACGGTACATGTATACGATGTGTGTGTATATACAGGATATGGTTGGTGCAGGTCAAGGGGACCGTGTGTACAGTACAGTAGTCAAAGTAGATATGATGGTCAAGCAATCGATACTGTCCACGCGCGTGGCACCAGCAAAGGTTAAAGGTCGGGATGATGGCTAATTATAGTGCCTATAAACACTAGGTGCCGTATATATGGAGCTTTACAGTTGTTTTACAGTGTCAGTTTGGGAGTTTACTGTTTGTTTATAGCTTTGTTCCGTGCGTGGCTTTAGGATTTACATATGATTAGATAGTTCGTAACTGGATCGGGGACTGTATGTGTACATTTGTAGTGTGATGCGTCCGGACGATAGTGTGAATGATGGAGTGAAATACCTTGAATTTATACACGATTTGGATTATAGTTATTAGGCCGTGGAAATAATAAATATGTGAACTTTATTCCTTTTGTATGTTCACGTCACGTCAGTACGGATAGGGCGTTACACTTGTACCGTTAAAGCGACAATGATCACTTATAAATCGTTGAATTTCCTTCATTGGCTTATCACATTTGTGGCACGTCTCAAGGGATGGCAATGTTCTTCGTTTGTTTTGAACCCCTGGCCAGGAATGCTTCAGATCAAATACATTCAAAACAAACACTGTACTTCATTCCAAGTAAAGAGCTAGACAACTTATCCCACGACCAAATAATACAAGATAAAAGACAGGACGATGCACGGACAACCAATACAATCATTCGTCAATTTTGAAATATTTAAAGGAACTCAACTTGTGTGACGAATCTCTGCGGTTAAAAATGTAATTAGGAGCCACTTCGTACCCGAATAATTCACAGTCGGGCCTCACCACTTCCCTGAGCCTAAGCAGGTCTTTCACAGGAACCTGTCTGTAGGCCTGTATCATAGCCTCTGTCTGCTGTTGACGAAGCGCTGTTCGATCCATGCTACTTTTCTGAATTGCTTTAGTCAAAATATCCACCAGCTGCGTTCTGTTCACATTGTTCGCCTCTGACTCTGTAAACGGAAGTTTTGCACGTTTCGTTAAAATACCTCGAATTTGAAGGTCTTTCCATATTCGTTGCATACCGGAATAAAATGAAATGCATTTCTCTAATCCGTTTCGCATGTTGTATAGACGCCCTGTGTGTCCAATGGCTCTGCTTAATGCCGTTTCTGCTTCAAAATCATCGTATGTAACATTGATGCCATAAAGTTTGTTCCAAGCATTCAACAAAGTTAACGAATCATTCGTAAATGTTTCCATCTTCCCTATAAAGTCATAAGATATCTGACACGGCCTACAGTGTTCGTAAATTGGCGTGAAGTGTGGATCCGTATGCACGCCCGTTTTCTCCGATTCGATAATGTAGTTTATGAATTGCGGAAATGTTATACCGTGTCCACAGTGTGTTTGCGGTTCTTGGTCACGATTCAGAAGTTTATTTTTTATGTAAGTTCCAGTCGTTTTCCAGTACATTGTATTTACGGTAAAGAGTTTATCCACATATCCCGAAAACAGCCTCTGATATGGGTCACGTGTGAACATCATCTTACATGATTTTGTTAGAATATAATGAAAATTCGTTAAGTCGGTCATGTTTTTCCTTTTGTTGTGTATCCATCGAGAGTCCAAATCACTCTTCTCACTTGTTTTTACGATACCCAAAAGGCTTCTCAAAAATGTTGAGCCAGTTTTTTGAACAGCACAATAGACGATACGGTGACGATGATCGATTACCAGCTTTTTTGCCAATTTAGATCCGTCTGACCTTCCGTAATAGCCGTGTGTACTTTTGTCACATACACGTTCAATAGTATTCCTCCTCTTCTCGTGTTCTTCACTCAATCCGTACTGCATGTGATGAAAATTCTATAAAATAGAGTCCAGCTATTGAAACATTTTCATTAAATATTATGACTTAGCATTATCAATAACACAACCTTTAAATCCTTACGCACATCTATTTCAGACTTTCAATCACATCCTTAACATACTGCTGTTTATTCAAATATATATATCTCTAAAATTCAACCTTTACTAATAATGCTAATATGCCTACCCTTCCCAGGATCAAAGGTGGTTCCGTTGCAGTATTTAAGAGAGGTTCATCTACGACCATACGTTCTCCTGTTCGACCAAAGTTTGACCAGTGCGGCATTCGTCTCAAGCGGTCTGGTCGACTTAGAAAGTTACCTGTATAAATATAGTAAGTTATTTTTGAATTGACGTCTCGCTTGACAACAAGACTGCGCGCCATTTTGAATTGGCAACAAAAAGCATATCTACCGGTTTCTGCTATTACTTGGTATGATTTGCTTGCAGGATTGTTACTAGTTATATATATTTACACTGTGAATCTAGTGCATGCTCCAAAGACGCACAACAGCAATGGCGTAAAGTATGGTACAGTCGCTTCATCTGCAACTTAAACAGAAACAAATGCGCGTTTGTATGCAGTAAATGGAAAACAATTTTCTGAATATTGGACCATATATTATCACATGGAAAGGTATCTTCACAGCAAATTGATACATTCCAATACACCAGTTGTAAACATGTGAAGGTATACATTATAATATATAAGAGGTAAAAATGCAATAAATGCTATTCCATTTCATTTATGGCAGATAATTTATGAACTTAATATCTTTAACACTGTGACATATATCAAAAGCGATATCTGTACAGTGTGAAGATATCATATTTTGTGTTGACCAACGGCACTTTCTATTCACTGCTTTCATCATTGCTACCTACACAAACTCACCTGATATGTTTAATTAACTACACAACTGATGACAGATGACATTTTTAAGCATGTCTAATCACACACCTTGAGAAAATGCATTAAGGCTACCAATGTTGACATATACACAACGCGCACCGAATCCCGACCACTTTAAATTGACTATGGCATTGCAGGTGACTCGCATTATGTATACCAGCACGGCATTGCTTCTATTTGCTTTAGATATTGATTTTTAAAATAAATTATAGAAATTTTCTATACAAACATCAAGAAATCTTGTTTAAACATGTTTACTACATATGTTTGTGCAGTTAACAACAAAACCCATTGTGCTACGTTCAGCAAAAGACAAAATGAACCACGTCGGTGGGATATGCGGCAAACGCAACACATTTTAAACTGTTCCGAGGAATTCCGAATAAAAAAGATTTTTTATTATTTTCGTTTTGGATTTCACATCATCACATTTTCAATTAAAAACATTCCAAAGAATTGTTTTTAAGTTGAAAAAAGGGGAATTAAGTCATCTTCACGATACACATAATAGACCTGCTCGCAACTAATTATCAGCAAATATTTTCATATTCTAGTTTCAATTCAGGGTCTTCATTGTCATCATGTAAAGATCTCTTCAAAAGCAACAACAAAAGGCGACCTACATATACGTCCTCGCTCAGTATTTCAATGGTAATGCATGCATGCTCAGAGCTTTCTGATCAGTTTAATATCGTTATTTGCTATTTTCATTTCGTCTTATTCTGTTATAATAGTAATGATAAAGTCAATATGCTTTAACATTTGCCATAACTACTACAATATGTTTGCATCCTTTGTTGTCGTTTCTATCTATATCGGCATAATTAATGAAAATATCAGATAGTAGCTAAAAAAATTAAGTTCGTAACTGAACAGGTCGCAATGTATTTTCTAGGAACTAGTTTTGTCGACATATATTAAGGATCGTGTAAGTTAAATTACACATAAATCTATCACTTCATATTTTCAATGAACTCGTCGATAATGTACTTGGACAAGTTCACATACATATGTGACTTTGCGACCTTCAAATGCAAGATATTTCTGGAAAACTTTTGGAACCTGTATTTTTAACCTCATGGTACATCAGTTTTTGCTTCCGCATAATAAATGTCTATTGGCAAAGTGAAAGCTTTAGACCATTTGATTTAAGACCCATTAAAGATTGAACATACGTTCATTCACATTGGGACCAAGGCCTTTGCCTCAAGGGTGCCACATACTGTTTATACAAAATCCAGTCCAATCGTGTAACTTATCTTCGAAATCCATTTTGGTGCAAATCCTTTCCTCGTACTGAAGAAGTGGTCTGTTAATATTTGCATATTTTCCTCGCCATGTAAAGGTATTACTCCATTGATCATTGTTCAAAATATATGCGTGGGGTGTAAAAGGCTATATACACAAGACTTTAAAGATATGTGGAAAGTTAAAACTCTTCCGTATTTATGGAATTATCATGCGTATAACATTAAAAAGCACTAAAACTATCACGTAACTGTTTTGACATTATGTGACGATACTGTAGTTCAATCATACATCGAGGTGACAAAATATGTTCTTCTTTATTTGGTTGTTTACGACTTTCAGATGGTTGACCTGCGATGAATTTTAGTGACATATTTATGCTTTGATCCGTAAAGAACTTTTTATCATTGAGTTTATGAATATGAGAGAAGTTAATGTAAATTATATATTATTTACATTTTAACAAGCATAAAGCGACAGAGAATGACGTTCGATTGGATATCGATACAAACTCGATCGATTCTGGTTTAGAATTTGACTATTTTCATTGTTTTTGTTTTTAATTTTCATCACATACACCCGTAAGTATATTTTCCTGTATAAGCCCTTTCACGTCAATGTGTGTTCAAGCCGTCTTTTATAAGTGATATTGACATTTGGTCGATATCTAAAATACTTCTTTGTTAATTTAGTTTAATTTCATTATTATTTCTTTAATATTCTACGGTCATCATTGACTAAAAGGTTGTTATCTCGATGGTCGCCTGATAATCGTATTTTTTTTCAATGCAAAGGTATACAAGGATAGCATGTGATATAACATATAACTGACATACTCTTTTCAAATGTAACATGAAGGCTATCACCTATATCTATATATCGCGTTTTAATGCTTTAGTATAACTGTATTTGGATTTAGAGGTCACCTATAGCTACTCAAAATGCCAATTTGATCTTATGTCATGGCACGGCGTCCATCGACCGTTCGTCTATTTATACCTACATCTCTTCCTTTACTTGTGATAATATTTTAGATAAAATGTGACATCACTGCAAGGGGAGCTGAACTTTATGTATATCAAGAGTGTTCTCCTCATTATTTGGGGAGGGTAGGGACCCAATGTGGAAAATAGTTATAAATCTTTAAAAGACAACTATCTCAATTCATGTTGAAATAAAGCTATATTTGTTTGAATTATTAATATAATAAAGAAGTCTTTGGTCCAATTAGGTTACAGAGCAGAGACAAAACGGATGTTAGAGTTAAAGATTTAAAAGACTACTCCTCCAGTGTACTCAAAGTGATATTAATTAAATTAGGCCCGAAGCATCGCTAGACCACGCCAACTTCAATCGTTAATTTAAGAAGGGTATACTCTGCTAGAAAGCAGAGTGGTGGCGCTAAGAAAGTAAATAAGGAAAACATATATCTTCGGTACATGAAAAGGGGCTTAGGGTTTATTCATTCTGAGGAATCCATAGCCTAGCAAGACTCATATTCACGTAAATGATTTAGCCAAATTGTTGACAGAGGAGACAACTTACTGTACCATATAGCTGTTGTCTATTAGGACACATCATTAGTACTTTAGATCAACAGTAAACAACTTACTGACCATAGAGCTAGAGCTGTATTGTATATTAGGACACATCATTAGTACTGAAGATCAACAGTAAACAACTTACTGTACCATATAGCTGTGTTGTCTATTAGGACACATGGGTAGTACTGAAGATCAACAGTAAACAACTAACTGTACCATATAGCTGTATTGTCTATTAGGACACATGGGTTATACTGAAGATCAACAGTAAACAACTTACTGTACCATAGAGCTGTATTGTCTATTAGGACACATCATTAGTACTGAAGATCAATAGTAAACAGCTTACTGTACCATATAGCTGTGTTGTCTATTAGGACACATGGGTAGTACTGAGGATCAACAGTAAACAACTTACTGTACCATCTAGCTGAATTGTCTATTAGGACACATGGGTAGTACTGAGGATCAACAGTAAACAACTTACTGTACCATATAGCTGTATTGTCTATTAGGACACATGGGTAGTACTGAAGATCAACAGTAAACAACTTACTGTACCATAAAGCTGAATTGTCTCTTAGGACACATGGGTAGTACTGAATATCAACAGTAAACAACTTACTGACCATATAGCTGTATTGTCTATTAGGACACATCATTAGTACTGAAGATCAACAGTAAACAACTTACTGTACCATAGAGCTGTGTTGTCTATTAGGAAACACGGGTAGTACTGAAGATCAACAGTAAACAACTTACTACACCATATAGCTGTATTGTCTATCAGGTCATGTCAGTAGTACTGAACATTTACAGAATGAAAAACAACGACTAAAACGTTCCCAAAACTAATTACAATACAGCGAAAGGGGACAGGTGCTATTTCAAATACTGTTACATACTGGTGTAAAATCCCTAAAAAAATTGCCTTCGTCTGACTTTCAATGTGTTATGACATTCAGTTACGTGACAAACCGACCTTGTTGGGGAAAAAAGTTGACAAATCACCCTTTTGTAAAAAAAACAACTGTTTCATTAAGGTCAATGTCGACATTTGTGTCGGTGCAGTGGCAAAAATTAATAAATAATCTGTCTAATCGTTAGCTGAAAGCATATGGGAATTCACCGGTATACAATAAAACATCGCTTGAAGTTTGCACTAAAACTAGTGCGCCTTTTTTGAAAGTGACCCTATGGAGGACGCTCTGTCAAATGGAGATATTCTGTTATTTCCAAGCTACCAAGCCCATTTCTGATACCATTAATTTGTCACTAAAATACTCTCAGGGTAATTCAAATATGTTGATTTTTGCTGACAATTAACCGTTAAATAGCAAAACGCGTTACTTAAACACATTATTATACTTATAGTAACTCACCGATGTAGAGGAAACCCAGCGACACCAGACTTAATGTGAATACGGCAAACATGAGTACGCGTTTGGTTCGGAAAAACGCCATAATCCTCGAATCCTTAGGTAAATATGTTTCAGTAAAAAAGACTTGCGAGACACTATCTAGGTCTTTGTCTATGAACGTGGACCTGAATACTGGTATATACATTCCTCTTACTCTCGACAAACCTCGAATATAGTGTTAACCGGGTCCTATAGACCTAGAAGAAATCTTTTGTCTTTAAACATGCTGGTAGGGCTTTGTTAGCCGATATCGGTGTACAGATAAGGGGTGAATTATAATTTTAAAAATAACCATACAAAATGACACTTTTGCATTCTTTGACTTTGAAATGTAGGTCATAAGCTAATCACACACCTGCACATCACACTGATAATGTGTTTACAACTGATTTTACTGTTATTACACTATGTACAACTGAACGATAGTGATTTATCATTCTTTAATTGTTTTCATTTGAAATTATAAGGTTTTAAATTAAAGTTGATATTTGTTAAAGATAGATAATATCATTATATATCGAGTGAAGATATGCAAAGTGTATATCCTCATCAGGTAACATATATATTTATAACATTTTTGCCAGTGAAAAATCGGATTCTATCAACTTGATAAAACTGATATCTTTCACACTGTGACAAATATCAAAAGTGATATTTTCACAGTGTAAAAATATCTCTTTTGGTATTGATCAATCATAACGGTATCTTCTATTCGCTGCATTCAAAGGCAATCATTGTTTGTTCAGATTCAAATAAAGCGACGGAAGAATAAGTTTGTTATGGTAAATGTTGGGTACAGATACTTAAGTATTTACATAAATGTAAAATTAATTACATTTTTATAAGCAATCATACCAGAAAATAGCAGAAAACGTCGGAATTGCATGTCAAAACTATCCCAGATATATGCACAGTACAATTATAAAACACAAGTATGTTGTTACTTACCTACGTGCAAGACCACCAGCCAAATAAGAACCAAGAATGATATACCAAGTGTTGTCCTGAGTGTGATACGAAAACCTCTCATGACGTCTATGAATCCTCAGCTACAGGTATGCTTTTGTTTAAATGGCGTGCGGCACTGTTTCTATGTCTGAACTTAAACGCTTGGTTAATCATGCAAACGGTCACGGTTGTACGATATTTTGGTGGAGCTTAAATCATGTATTCAGCTTTTAGATGGTATCATATGCCAGTCCAGGTTTTTAGCTAAGGCGTTAGCCGCCAGCTATTGGTATTACTTTNAAATAATACAACTGCAAAATTAATATCAGAACCGAGTCTTGCCTACAAACACACTACTTGTAGAGTACCCATATTGACTTTATCGTGTTTTACTACTGATTTAAGTAAATTTTGCTGAGTTTGATATATTTTTAGGGCACCTGAGCTTTGCTCAAGTGACCTATTCCGATCACTTTCCGTGCGTCGTCGTGCGTCGTCCGTCGTGCGTATTTTTTTTTTTTACATTTTCACCTTCTTCTCGAGAACCAGTAGATGGATTCTTTTCAAACCTGGTCAGAATCATCCTTGGTAAATGGAGTTCCTACCCCAACCCATGAGGCCAGGGTGGGGACCAAATTAATCAATATTTCAAAAGTCTTCTCCTCCAGACTCAGAGGTACTACAGTCAATTTCTCTGCATGGATGGAAAGATCATCAGGGGCTTTATTTAAATTGTAAGTTGCAGGACCCCCGAGCTATCCGTTATCCCTTTGGGAGGGGGTAAAGTTTACTATAGTTTATATAGGGAAACAACACTTTTGGGTATATTTTGACATTTTCTGTAGGAAATTATTCTTACTTGGTGAAATTGGTTTCAAATTGTAAAATTGGGATTCTTACCCAAACCCTAGGGGCCAGGGTGGGGCCCCAAAGGGAAAATTAACCAATATTTCAAAAATCTTCTTCTCCAGACTCAGAGGTACTACAGTCATTTTCTCTGCATGGATGGAAAGATCATCAGGGGCTTTATTTAAATTGTAAGTTGCAGGACCCCCGAGCTATCCGTTATCCCTTTGGGAGGGGGTAAAGTTTACAATAGTTTATATAGGGAAATACCACTTTTGGGTATATTCTATCCATTGTCAGCAGAAAATTATTCAAACTTGGTCAGAATCATCTTTGGTAGATTAGGGTATTACATTGTAAAATTTGAATTCCTGCCCCATCCCCAGGGGCTAGGGCGGGGACCCAAACGGAACATTTACCAATATTTTAACATTCTTATCCTTTGATCACATGACAAGTATTGTATTTCACTTAGTTTACATGCTGATTTCTATATCTAAAAAAAAAAAAGCTACCAGTACCTATGATATAACTATGTTATAGTTACTTTAGCGGGGTCATACAATATGGACATTGTAAAAACGGATTATCACTGATAATTGGTTAAACGACAAGCAATAGATGTAAATGAACTTACCCAATCGAAAGCATGACAAAAGTCATCGATCTCCTGTCCGGACACAAATCACACAGCTCGTAAATTCTTGGTTCATGAACTCAATGCAAACCACATCATACACAATACCGGGTATCACGATTATAGACTTAAACATATCCCTTAAAAACTTCAATATGTTCAATCAATAGTTGTAACCTAAGGAGTAGCTGTTAATTTAATAAATCAATAAGTATCTAAGTTAAGACCTCTATTGTTAAGCTTATTGATTCGTTTTTAAAACAAGTAGCACTGTTTTCAACAACAACAAATAATAGATATGAAATAAACAAAAAATAAATCAACAACAGTGTTCAGGACGTACAGCGGGGCTAGAGCGGGATTCCAATCCTTGATTTAAGATTGTTATACAATCGCTCAATCTGATTGAGCTATCTGGTCAACAGAAGTGTCCTTGCTCCACTTTGCTACTAGTTATATCAAAATGTAGAAAACTACAGTGCATACAGGGCAATGTGACAGGGATCCTTTATAGGTGCATTTATTATTATTATTGATCCCGCTGGAAATATGTGAATTTCCTGAATAGTACCTCCTGCACTTGACATACCGCAGGCTATCATAGTTGGTCTTTATATCATTATGACGTTTGGTGTTATACTCGGAAGAGAGATTACGTCATTAGCTTACTTCAGTTCCGTGCAAAATTCTCCAACGGATTATAAGAAATGAAATATTAGACCATATGAATAGGAACGACCTCTTCTCAAAGCATCAGCATGGCTTTAGACCTGGACGATCATGTACTACACAACTCCTAGAAGTCCTTGAAGACTGGACACAAACCCTAGACCAAGGTAAACATATCGACGTGATATATTTGGACTTTGCTAAGGCCTTTGACAAAGTCTCCCATCGTCTACTGCTATACAAACTCCAGTACTATGGAATACAAGGGAAAGTACTAGCATGGATACAGGATTTCCTAATTGACATGAATCAAGAAGTGGTAATAAATGGAAATTTCTCAAAAAGTAAGCCAGTCACCAGCGTTTTAGGACCGATTATATTTTTACTATATGTCAATGACATGCCTGAAGTCATAAATTGTACCATCAATCTTGTTGCAGACGACACAAAATCATATTCAAAAATCTCCAACAGCGTAGACCGTAAACTTCTTCAGGACAACAAAGACAACATATGCAAGTGGAGAGACGACTGGTTAATGAAATTAAACATCTACAAGTGTAAACACATGGAAATTTGAAAATTCAGGGGAGGTAACCACAACTATAATCTACATTTTCCAGATAGTACAACAGAAATGATGAAAGTAGAAAACGAGAAGGATATCTTGGCGTCACCATAGACAATAAACTGAGATTTTCAGACCATGTCAACATAACAATTACAAAAGCTAACAGAATCCTGGTTACTATCTTCCGTACTTTCACATATATGGACTCAGTTATGTTTACTCTATTGTACAAATCACAAGTCAGACCACATTTAGAGTATGGAACACCTTTTTGGTCCCCAATCTTTATCAAAGACAAAATCTCCATCGAAAACGTGCAAAGAAGGGCTAAAAAACGGATCAAAAATATATCAAATCTACCTTATGATGAAAGGCTGCGAAAACTGGGACTGCCTACACTCGAATATAGATAGGAAGGGCCGACCTCATCAAAATTTATTAGATCCTAAATAATATCGACCATGTAGACCATGAACATATGTTTAAACCGGCATCAAATATGGGGACCAGAAGGCATCCAAAAAAGCTGTTCAAGAAACCGTTTCGCCTGGAACTAAACAATAATATCTTCTGCAATAGAACGATAACAATATGGAACAGTCTACCAGAAGTGATTGCTACAGCAATGAACCTTAACAGCTTTAAAACATTACTGAACAACCATAACATTACCAACAGGTCCAAATTCCGGGCCTCTTTTTACAATAAGTACCATGGACACCACATGTGTGTTTTTTAATTATGTGAACTTTTACTGATCATTTGAGACCAAATCAACAAGTGCGAACTTTATACAGTACGTGTGTAAATATACGTGTGTAAATATAGAGAGAGAACTGTTTAGTCAATTTATAATGTGTGAGCAACATTACCTATACACCGCCACAACTCATCAATGTGTAAATAATGGACTTTTATCATTTTATGCGCAACCGGATGAACATTATAAATAAGTAAATGAAATACAATCAAGACATCTTCAAAAGCTAAAAAGGTTTACAACGATGTAAATTACAGCGAAAGATACAGCGAAGTATATCCCACCTATATGTGTGTGGTAATGCCGAGGGGGACCTGCCACTTAAGAATCCTTGTTCTTCCGCTCAGCTCCACCCTCAGCAAATAATGCTAAAATTAATACTCACTGAGCATATATTTTATATTTTAAACTGTCATTGATTTAAAAATTCTACAGCAGCTACTCCCACCGCATTTTCATATCAAATCCAATATACAAGCAAAGGACCGTATCGCAATTTAGGTCTGCGTCGTCAAACATTTTCATATCTCAATTTATCGGATATTACCTTAGTTTAATAACATTGACGAATGTCTTTTCAAATGCAGCTTTTCAGTTACATGGTATGATTCTTCTTTATCCACAGTATTACAATGTAAGTTAAATGTTTCCATCAGTTTAAAAGTGTTTGATTTCACATCAAACAAAACAAAATTGCTGGTCTTCAGTTACTTTTTTCCTTTTCAATCCAATTTCCTCTTTATTCTTCACGAATGACATCTTGCTATTGATACCCCACATTGTGATAGCATGGTCAGTGTTAGGCTTGGCTGTATGGTCTCCCATAGTGATTACAAAGTCTGTGTTCGGCTTGACTGTGTGGTTCCCTCTTTGTGATTACAGAGTCTGTGTTCGGCTTGACTGTGTGGTTCCCTCTTTGTGATTACATAGTCTGTTTTCAGCTTGACTGTGTGGATCCGACATTGTGATTACAGAGTCTGTGTTCGGCTTGACTGTGTGGTTCCCTCTTTGTGATTACAGAGTCTGTGTTCGGCTTGACTGTGTGGTTCCCTCTTTGTGATTACAGAGTCTGTGTTCGGCTTGACTGTGTGGTTCCCTCTTTGTGATTACAGAGTCTGTGTTCGGCTTGACTGTGTGGTTCCCTCTTTGTGATTACAGAGTCTGTGTTCGGCTTGACTGTGTGGTTCCCTCTTTGTGATTACAGAGTCTGTGTTCGGCTTGACTGTGTGGATCCCACATTGTGATTACAGAGTCTGTGTTCGGCTTGACTGTGTGGTTCCCTCTTTGTGATTACAGAGTCTGTGTTCGGCTTGACTGTGTGGTTCCCTCTTTGTGATTACAGAGTCTGTGTTCGGCTTGACTGTGTGGTTCCCTCTTTGTGATTACAGAGTCTGTGTTCGGCTTGACTGTGTGGTTCCCTCTTTGTGATTACAGAGTCTGTGTTCGGCTTGACTGTGTGGTTCCCTCTTTGTGATTACAGAGTCTGTGTTCGGCTTGACTGTGTGGTTCCCTCTTTGTGATTACAGAGTCTGTGTTCGGCTTGACTGTGTGGTTCCCTCTTTGTGATTACAGAGTCTGTGTTCGGCTTGACTGTGTGGTTCCCTCTTTGTGATTACAGAGTCTGTGTTCGGCTTGACTGTGTGGTTCCCTCTTTGTGATTACAGAGTCTGTGTTCGGCTTGACTGTGTGGTTCCCTCATTGTGATTACAGAGTCTGTGTTCGGCTTGACTGTGTGGTTCCCTCTTTGTGATTACAGAGTCTGTGTTCGGCTTGACTGTGTGGTTCCCTC